ACAGCATCGTCGCATTAGACATTATTATCGTATCAGTAATACCACCCATCCACTCGATACGCACAGCGCAATATCATTTAATTTTACTAAGAAAAGCGATTACTCCATTTATTTTCCTTCCTTTTAATGGTTATTTTCAACAAAGAATATTGTCTGAATAACACTCTTCAAATATAGTCATCACAAATTTGAGGAAAGTTCATTATCATGTACCCGCGAAAGAAGAATTTATTCTCCTTGTATTTTCAATATTCTCAACAATACTGTAAAGCTTTATCGAAGGAAAGCTAATTTGACTCTATGCAGCAAGCAAATCGAATTGTATGTGTGTTTTAATTTAATATTCTTCATTGAAATGCTAAACTTATCAGAATTCACAATGTCTTATAACTGGATGTTTTGAATAAGTTCAATGCTTATAATGAACTTATGACAGATTTTCGAATATATAAACTTACCAAATACTTGAAACAAGCAACATTTATTGGAATGCAGTATGCATTTTTTTATATATAACGTGAAGTCGCGAATTATTGCGCTGATTTCTTTCCCGAGTTTTTTCTCATTTTCTCATTGGCAGGAGACACAATGCTACATAAGATAGTCGGAATAAAACAGTCGTAACTTTCATTATATTAAAATGCTCCATGTTGGTCGCGATTTAGAGTCTTAATTACTTAATCTTGTCCCGTCGTTTTACTCTTTATCGGACACCGCTTATTTTCCGGCGCGTGCACCTGCGATCGTATCTTTTTTATTGCCTTATCGAGAGACAGGGGTACACGACCGTGGAATGCAGAGAGACATTAGAAGTTTAAGTTGCCTGGGATGCATTAAAAGATCCCGTGGGAGGGGTATTTTGCTCTGTTTTTTCTCTCTCGCGTTCGCTCTCCCTTCGTGTCTGGATTTTTCTAGTCCGGAGAGAGAGAGAGAAAGAAAGAGAGAGAAGGAATCGCAGAAATTGGCGAAGATTCAAGCGGCGATGTACGCGAATGCCTTACAGCTCGATGAAAGCAGATTACTTCGTGAAAGACCGCGCAACCGGCTTTCGGAAACACGTGTAATCCATGCAAATCCGGCGAGAAACGCGAAGTCGCCCCAACACCGTCCGAGACTCTTAAACGCGTAAACATTATTTGTGCTGATCTGAACGGACTTAATGCACGGCGCAATCGATAACGTCGAGTGGAGCTTTGGCAAATTTTGACGCGATTTGGCTCGAAATTTCTGGCAACGTCCATTATTATTAAGCGCGCGCGCAACTATTTCTTCATAAAGCTTTTAACCTTTTGCTTTAAGTTATTTCGAAACGCTTACAAGCGGGGGTTGATGCCTTGCCGCAGACTGGTCAATAAAGCCGCTTCGGCAACGGAGACTTTGGCAGTCTCGCGACTTCTCTATCTCAGCCCGTAAAGATTCTACAGAGTCGACGCGAAGAGGTACGGGCTGACCGTTTATCGTGAGAATAACCACTCACTTCGATTATGATATTGGGGCCGTAAAGTTTATTGCGGACATAAAATGCCCTTCTCCCTTCCCCTCTCCCACGACATCTTTCCGGTGTATTATTGCACGTGACTCTATCGGCGAATTGGAACTGTTACGGGCGCGCGTGACAAAAATGCACGTAATTTTATAAATACCATCTCGCGGCATCTTCGATCAGTGATCGATGAACGAATCGTGCGAAAAATCGCGCCCTCTCTTACCCACAGCGCAAGCTCGGCTAAAATTTAATTTAACTTTTCCAAACGGAACGGAATGTATCTCTTACGTCACTCGCGAGATTGAACTTCGAGCCAGGGCTCGAATGCGAGCATAGGAGCAAGTGAGTCTCGTTGGAAATTCTCGCGTCCGGCTGCCTCACATGTCGGCCCTAAACAACGGACTGCGCGCAGCGGTCACGCGACGGCCAGCAATCTCTATTAGATTAAAAATAGATTGCGATTGATTTCAAGTGCCGCGAGCTACCCCAGACCGTGGTGAGCTGAGCGAGCCGTATTCCGTCCGCTGTCAGATTAGAGGTGCCTGACCCAACGGAGGAACGTACTACTTCCCGCACTAGACACCCACCCCACCGTTCACAACCGTTTCTCCCATCACTTAGCCGCAACCTCACGTCGGTACGCGAATTGCGAGCTCGAATATTCGCGATGGCACCGACTCGGTAACGCGACGAGAGACAAGTTCTGTCACGTTGACACTTCTCGGATCCTTCGAAGATGTTCCCGTCCCAAATGTTCTAGATATAAAAAAGTTATGTATGAGGAGCCATGTGTATATACTGAGAGAAGAAATATCTAAGAACTTAATAATATTTGCTTGGTATACTGAGAAAAATATACTTAAAAATTTATATATAGTATAAAAGCTTTCAAAGAAATAAAATCTATCTCTCTTACAGAAATTAATTTTATTTCACAGAAATAAACTTCATATATTCCACAAGTAAATTTTCAAATAGATTTTCCTCAGTGTAAGCTAATAACATATTTACTTTTATACAAAATATTTTTCAAGTAAGAAAATATATTTTCTTAATACCTTGACTTTTCTATATAAAGTGATTATTTACTCTAAATAAAAGTATCTAAATCTCTAGATCTTTAATCTCTCAATAAAATACTTTTATCTTCAAATCTTTAATCTTTTAATAAAAATCTTTAAATAAAAGAATTTATATTGAAATAAATATGTATCCACCGAATTAGTATCCATCAAATAATTTCTTGAATTTTCAGATCTTTTCACTCGATATAATAAAATTATCAGTTGTCCCTTCTTTATAAAACTATTTTTGCTTGAGATATTTTGCTATGAGACTTACAAGTAAACCTACTCAAAAGTTACACTCCGATTTCTTTCTAATTTAGCACAAATGTAGAAGTACAAAAAATATTTAAATCATGTTAGCTTTTTAATATTCTCACTCCTATCATCGACAAGTACAACAAAAATACATAAAAAATAAAATTGAATACAAAATATAATTAAATAATTTTAACAAAATCGGCAAAGCTGTGAGACAAACCATTCTAAATTTCTTTAGCCGAGATTCCAACCGAAATATTTTAATATCATCCGAAATATTTAATATTTAATATCATTTGTGCCAAATTAAAAAGAAAGCGGAATGTACCTTTTAGGTAGGTTTATTTGTTAATTAAAAAACTTGTGTTCATCAATATTTTATTTTCTTTTGGTGAATATTTATTTTCGAAACAAATAAATACTTGCTATTTTTGTCAAATATTTTTTACCAATAAGGATGACTCGAATTATTGACTTTTCATATGATAAAATATATTTTTTCGAACGACTTTCTCTATTTCTCATATTCACCGTTTATTGACTTATCGCACTCTATTGTTATAAGAAAATGATGGATATTTAACGCTATTGTGACCCTCGGGCGTTCGTAGCTGCCACGAGTTAATGAAATAAGCGCGGCGGAACGAGAAACGTACGAGAAATGGCCGGGATAAATATAAGGACAAAAGAGAGGAAAAAGAAGGAAATAAACGATCCCTAGCATCGTGGCTCATGAGATATAAATATGGCAGCTGCCCGCCGAGGAAATTCAACTCTTGTCGTTCCTCTGTCAACCCATCACGTATCAGCCCTGTTCCAACCTTTATTCACAAGTTTTCCCTTGAGCCATCGTGCGCGCACGCGAATCTAGTTTCTTATTATTTGTATTCCCTTTTTGCAAACGATACACGCCCGCTTTCAAATTTCTGCCAAGAAGAATACAAAAGACATCGCCGAAATCATAGTTAGAACTCTGATGTTCGTTCTAACGTTATGATTTGTAAAATTTATTTGTATAATAAAAACATATGTAAAACAAGAAAATTTATCATCGAATATTATCTCCCGTAGCGCGTGGGATCAGCTCATCGCGCAATATACCGATTGACTTTCATCGATTAGGAATATTATGCGTCAATGTACGCAATTTGATATACAAGCACTTATTGATAGTATTATATGGCATAAGAGTCGCAAATTGAAGAGTGAATCGAAGAATTACATATAGTATGAGTGAATTAAAACTCGTCATATTGTAAAATTAACACTTGTGAAAAATGCCGAAATAGTGAAAGATTAATTTGCCGATTTTCAGTGATTTATTCAGTGATTTTACATCGCGAAAATCTTTAAAAATCGATAAGCAGTCACGCATGCCGAAAGATCGGTCGACCCTGGGTATTATTTCTGGTATTATTTCTGGTATTATTTTTTCGGGTATTATTTCTGATCAACTGATATATTCAATTCTGTAGACAACCACTGGCATACACATAACGTTTCCACGAGCAAAGTCTATTGTTTCACGGCAAAATTTCATCGATTTAAATTCCGCAATACCCGAGCCGGAATTTCATATAATAACCGAATTCCATCGAACTTGAAGGATCAATGGAAAATCTCGAGTTAAAACATAGCACAAGCTATTGTTCTTCGATGCCACAAATATTGAGCTACAGAGTTGTTCAGATTCGAAGAAGGATTTACCTAAAAATTATTTAATATTCGATTTTTCATCTCAATATTTCCCGCTTGCCTTTGATTGTTATTTTTGACTTCCATAGGAAATGTTTCAATTATGTAACTCACTCGATAGCAGGTGGAATATATGTACGATAAGCAAATATTAAATAATGAATATGAGTAAAAAATGAAATGAATAATAATATGTACAGCAATAAAGCTTCTTTTTCGTGACATATGTATTATTATCTTTTATTGAAATTGGAAAGTTCGATAGAATTGTAGTAAAGTAATAAGGATAAAAACAGAAATGAACAAAAGACATTGGGAAATTCAATTCGGAATCTGTAGTCTAAGAAGCATTATTAAATTAAATCAGTACTCGCGAAACTTTCACACTGAACTCTAGATTTCGGCTCGGGTACCTTTCTATTTTCAGCTCGTTAAACATCCGTCAAAAGCCCAAACTTGATAAATGGTCGCGTAATATAAATGGCTTGACATACCTGGAAATATATGATGCAGCGCTGCTGGTCGCCCGCGTCCTCCGTCCTGACTTCCCGATTCAACATCCTGACCCTTGGCTTCTCCGTCGTGGCACTCACACCCACGTGCACGCTATTCGAGCAGAAGAACGCGTGTTAAATCACGAGATGTCGACGAGAATTCGAAGAAATAGTAGTAAGAGTCAACGAAAATATTATAATTATTCGACTAAAATAAAAACGCGAACGCGCGGAGATGATGAACGCGTTCCGCGATATGCGACGCACTGAGGACCTGACACGCTCATTGTTATCTCGAAGCCCTAGACTGTTTTGATAGCGTCAAATCGTCGTACTATCGGTGAGCTGGGGGGGG